AATTTTAGTCATTCAACACACCCAGAAGCAACGCATACAAAAGGCATATGTTCAAACAACACGTTATATTTTTGTTTTATCGAAAGTCAGATAGCTTAATGGTAAGATATAGTTTGAGCCCGGTTGTGACAGTGTCTCACAATGGAGAAATTCCCAATTTACAGCAGTAAAATTATGAAAGGGGAGAAAGGAGAAGACAAAAAGGATAGAAATATTAAATATAAATATATATACTGTACACATAAGAAGTATAACGACATGATAATCACAAGGTGGTTCTTCCATATTTGCTGCTCCCTTTTTTTTTTTGTGTGTATGTTGTATGAAACAAAATCTGGCACGCAGACTACATATATCACTTTTGTTTACTATTTACCATTCATTTATGTCTTGTAAAGATGGTTGATAATGTATTAGAATATATCCAGTAAATTATTGTGTTGGAGACTAATGAGTTCAGAATAATAAGGAGCTACGAATAGTTATCTTATTCTTCATCACGTTTCTTTTGCAAATATGGTCTCGTTCACGACCTGCCTTGTCTCAACAGACGTGAATTCCTTCCAGCAGACATCCAAATGGATTGATGACGTGCGGACAGAGAGAGGAAGTGATGTCATCATCATGCTGGTGGGCAACAAAACAGACCTGGCAGAAAAGAGGTAGGCGCTGCACCACCGGGGGAGATACAGACATCGTGTATTTTAGGACCGGGGTTATGCAATCTTCTCTGTGACGACGATGATGAGCAAGCCTCGGCGTCTGCTTCGGTCATAGCGCGCGCGCACACACACCCACACGCACTTTGAAGGCTTAACTCAAATATGAAACTCTGAATCCCTGAACCTATCTTGAAAGCCTAACCTCGACATTAAGACCTCACTTAAATCAGTGCCGAATTCATAAAAGTGTAGAAGGATGTTCAAGTGGAGCTGAACATGATTTCCTGTGCACGCTCCTCAGGCAAATTAGCATCGAGGAAGGAGAGCAGCGGGCTAAAGAGCTCAGCGTTATGTTCACCGAGACCAGCGCCAAGACGGGCCATAACGTCAAACAGGTGAAAGACCGCCTCAAGAAAATGGAGTCGTTTTAACGGGACAGCACAAAACAGACAGACAGACGAACATACTGTACACGGACGCCTGGAAAGCTTCGGCTTCTTGGCTCCTTTCAGAGGATAAAGAATATATGACATAGTACTGCTCTATTGAATGCCTTAAATGTTGTGTGTCATTTCAATCGGGAATCGATTAGGTTGAAAATTGAGAAAATAGAGTCACCGGGATACTTCAGTCTTGGGCATTTATGTGCTGCATTGATGATGTTGAAATTAATTTCTTCAATTCTACGGGATGGAAGAATCACTCTCAATGTTCAGTTTTGGGTTTTGTTTTTCTTTTTTCCTCACAGCTGTTCCGCCGCGTGGCCTCGGCTCTTCCTGGCATGGAGAGCATGCAGGAGACCAGTAAAGAAGGCAGTATCCTTATTTCAAATATGTTCATAAAGACATGTTGAAGCGACATAACTCGAGCCGTGGGAGGCTACCCGACTAACGAATAATGCTCATTGTTCTGCAGCCTTCACGCCTAGCGCTACGCTTGGGCACGGTATGCAAAACGGAAGGTCACGCTAGCACACCGTTGCCAACGTGACGTCCGTCAACAATATTCCTTTTATTCGATGTTACTCTTGCCACAAAATCCAGTGGCAGCCTCTGTACCGGTATACATTTTACTGAAATACATCAGCACCACCACGTGGTAGTAAAGGAGTACTACATTACAAAAACAGCCTCATTTAAAATCCTTGTTTGAAACCCAAACTTCCTCTAAATCCTCTAAATCACAGGTGTCGAAGTCCGGTCCTCGAGGGCCGGTGTCCTGCATGTTTTCCATCCCTCCCTGCTGCAACACACCTGATCCAAATGAACAGCTCATCAGCAAGCTCTATCGGAGCCTGATAGTGATCCTGATCATTTGAATCAGGTGTGTTGCAGCAGGGAGGGATGGAAAACATGCAGGACACCGGCCCTCGAGGACCGAACTTCGACACCTGTGCTCTAAATCCAGTTGCAGCCTCCGTACGGTATATGTTTGACTGAAGTTCAACAGCACCACCAAGTGGTAGTAATGGAGTACTACACTACATAACTGGTTGGGTTCGGTACCTCTTAGAAGGTTGAGAACCGCTGCTCTACGTTGTTCTCGCCGAACCGCAAAGCTCCATCACGACTGTGAAATTTCCTTCACGATCTCCTGCCAGTGATCGACATCAAGCTGGACAAAGCGCAAGAGCCGCAGACGAGCGAGGCCGGCTGCTCCTGTTAATAGCCGCTAGCGTTAGTTGCTAGTAGTTAACACTCATCATATACAACCCCCACCCCCCATGCCGACACGCTTCTTATGTTGAGCCTTCCTATTGGTTAACATCCTGACTGCTGGTCAGTGCTTCCAGAGAGAAATAACGCCGAAGCTGTCCAAAACAAACAAGTTGGACTTTTCATCCTTTCTTTCATTTTGTTCATGATATATATTTTTTGTACTGCCCACGCTTTTTTTTTTTTTTTATATTCAGGGACAAATTCTCTTCGTGTTTGGTGCACCCTAACTTTAAGGCAGACAGCCACAATAGAGCCTATTCACGTCTTGTGGACTGTCCATGCATGCTTCTCTAAACGTCAGGTAACACCTCACACACTCGCACACACACCTCACGCACGCGCACACACAAATGTAGGACTTCCCATTGTTCCTATACATCGTGTGTGTGTGTCACTTTGTTCCTTGTGGACACACAACATTCCACTGTATTTGGGGGGGCGTCAAATGTATTAACATTGAGAAGACGTTTTTAATGATTTTATTTTATTTTTTGAAGTTTCAAGTTGAGATTTAAGTCAGGGAAGACACATTGGCATTAGAAAACACACACACACACGCACACACACAGTCACTTTGCTGCTTATCATTTCATCTTCATTTTTTTACAACCAGAATGTAGAAGAAAACACGCAGCCTTACTGTCGGATGAGCACTTTCTTTTAATTTTTTTCTTCTTCACTGAATGAGGACTCTACAGATGGTTCTTTGTATTTATTCCTGGCGAATAGGAACCGTGGTGTCCACATGTCAACCAACGTACGTATGTTAGCGTTGTCGAGATGATTGTGCAGCGAGGCGGCCGAGACCACCTCAGCTCTACTCTCACTAACTGTAAAGAGCATGTCTCCATTAAACACGTCTTGCCAACCACCACATGGCTTCGTGGTCATTCTGAAAAACAACTTTGGGCCAGACTTTCGTCCAGACATTTTGTTCAGACCTTTGACTAAACTTCTGTCCAAACTTGGACAACATTTCGTGCCGATCCGAGCTCTATTTTTGGCCAGACGATTGTCCACAGCTTAGCCAAGATGAAACTCCAGACTTTTGGTTCAGACATTGCTGATTGCAGATCTTGCTCCAGATTTTGTCCAGTTCTTGGTATAGACTTCCATCCACACGTGTCCAGCATTTGTCTACAATCTAAATCTCGGTCCTGACTTTCGTCAAGAGAATAGTCTGGACTTTGGTTCAAACATTGGTCCACACCTTTTCCAGACTTTTGTCCTGGTCTTGGTCTAGACTTCTGTCCATACCTTCGTCCAGACTTTAGTCCAACACTTGGCCCAGAATCCAAATTTTGTTCCTTACTTTTGTCCAGCTCTTAGTTGAAGCCACAGTCATTGCTGATTGCAGATCTTGCTCCAGATTTTGTCCAGTTCTTGGTATAGACTTCCATCCACACGTGTCCAGCATTTGTCTACAATCTAAATCTCGGTCCTGACTTTCGTCAAGAGAATAGTCTGGACTTTGGTTCAAACATTGGTCCACACCTTTTCCAGACTTTTGTCCTGGTCTTGGTCTAGACTTCTGTCCATACCTTCGTCCAGACTTTAGTCCAACATCTGGTCCAGAATCCAAATTTTGTTCCTTACTTTTGTCCAGATCTTAGTTGAAGCCACAGTAAAAAAACAAACAGTAAAGGCAATTTGTCACAGTTACTCAGCGTGGCTTTCACAGCCTGACCTGACTTGTTCCAACGACTCTCGACCAAACCGGATCACCAACTAACTGATTTCTTGCACCATCCCACTGGGAAACCACCCCAGCCCAAATTTGCACCATCAACCGTTGACCCGAAACCTGAGACCTGTATCTCTACGCAATCTTTAAGCAATCTTTGTTTGCTTGCTTAATAATGAAAGTCATGATCCAGTATTTTCATAATCTCACCACGGAGACTCTTGGCCAGATGCTGGATGAATGCTTTTCTATAATCCTCTTTCATGCTTACAAGCCGATTGTTGTCCCGTAAAACTGTGTATCATACTCCACAATTAAATCCTCTGAAAGTTACTTTGCAGTTAAAAAAAAAAAAAGGGATAATTTTATTTCGAATTCAAGGCATTCGCAGGAAGGGACTGGTGTTATAAAGCCGATTGTTGTCCCGTAAAGCTACGTATGATGCGACCAAAACAGAAAATCCACATTTACATACTCGCACGATACTTTTCTTGTCATAAATAAGTGATTGTTTATTGAACATTCTACGGGCATTTCCCCCCCCCGCCCCCCCCCCCCAAAAAAAATAAATAAGAAAAACGCAGACTGGTGTCTGGAGCGATTGTTGTCCTGTAAAGCTGCATTTGTTGTTTTGCGCTATTTTGGTAATCATGAAATTTAAAAAATGGATAAATCTAGCACAGGATAGAAGGTAGGGGCTGATGTCTTTCAAGCAGTTGTCCTGTAAAGCTGCTTATGATGCTAACAGTTACTTTGTCACCATAAATAAATTAAAAAATTGATTGGTGTTTATTTAGTGTTGAACAAATTTTAGGAGAAACCATCTGTTCCTTGGGGGGGGGGTCTCTGTATGTGTTTTAGACATGGTTGAGCCAAATCCCACAGCAGCAGCTGGGAGAA